AACATTACACTTTATGTTGTCCGTTCTAGACGTAGTACAGTTTGACTAATGAAAATAAGGTAAACTTAAAGTTCAGAATTTTGAAATATTTGTATAAAACGTTGTAGTAAAAATATTAATAGAACAGCATTCACTTTGTCGAAAATTTTATAATAAATCATTAATGGAAGAATTTTGTTAACTAATTTTCATGATTAAATTTTGTTCTGGTTTGAAGCGACAATATTTAAATTTATTTAAAACTGTATAATTGATGTACATATGAATATCAGTACACGTATAATAAGTTAGTCACGTAATGGTTTCAATTTCCTCACAGTAATTTGCAGGTGTTTCATTAAAAAAACAGGTCATTTAAAAATTTCTAATATTAATTTTAAAATAACAATTATTGTTGCTGATACAAAAATAGAAACCGAACATCTATGCAATATGCAAATAACACATTTGACTTCAAATGTTGATTATACTAAGTTTCTTCCGCATTCTTGACTTGAAATGTTAATTTTAACCAAATTTATTAAATTGTTACTGTATATGAATCAACCAAGAGATTTAAAAAAAATATTTCCCATATCACACCAATGTATATTTTTTTTTCCTTTTGACCACTTGAAATATTTTTAGATACACGTATGTCGAACAAAATTTATAAATATGCTTAGCACTGCATGTAAATATTGTAGAATAAATCAAATGTCTGCTATTATAATTTTTCTATACATGATAAAATTGTATACAATTGCTTTACTAAATTTTAAGTTTAAAATTTAATAGCCATTTAAAAAAGAATATTGTAATAAAATGAAAATTATATAAACATGTATATAATTTTTTATACTATACTTAATGCTATTAGTGAGCTTTTTAAAAATTTCTATCTTGTACAAGTTTTATTTATATTTATTCTAACATCCACACATTAGTTTTGCTCTTTAAACAATAAAATTTTATTAACAAAATTTCGATATACATACATTCTTGTAAAGTTTGGCGAAAAGTTTAGATTTTTAGAAACTTATTCATAATTTTAAAAATTGTTTAAATAATTAAAATTTTTTATTGTAATTCCTTTTCGATTACAAAATAATTAATCAAAATTTTATAAAAATTTATTTAACAAATGGCAATAGTAAAAAAAGGTATTTTCAATCAATAATTTAGGTATTTGGAATAAAGTATGAACTCTAATAAAATAATTCATAAAAATCAATAGAAATTTGTCGGTTGGGGCTCGTTATTCTATTATTAAGTAGAGGAATCAAGGGACATTATAAATTTTTATGCATTTAATCGACGAAAATTTGTGGGGCTCAATATTTCCTTGTTCAATTTATTTAACACAAATTTGAATAGAAGGAGAAGGGAACACGATAAAAGAAAATTGTTGTAAAAATTTTTAAATAGAAATTGAATACTCGTAATTCTTACACTAAAATGAAAAGCTTAATTTAAAAATTTAAAATTATATGCTTATTAAAGTAAAATTGTTTTCTATAATCTTCTTTAAACAAATTTATTTTCTATTAATTTCTGACTAATATTCTTGTATTATTGAATTTCTAAATATACTCAAAGTCAATATGTTTTAATTATTAAAATTGACATAGAAAAAATATTATTGTCTGTTACCATTCGGAATTATGGGAAAGCTTATTTAAATACAAGTTTTTTTTAAAATTAATTTTAAAAATTAAAAACATCGAAAACGTATCGCATGTGATGTATTACAAAATTTGTATAATTTCAAAATTGAATTGTTTAAAAATGAAAATTTTGTACAATTTTTCAAGTAAACATACAGGTATTAACTTTGAAGTTAACAAAAATGATGATTTAAAATTCTTGATTTTTAATAACAAAAATAAATATAATTTTTTTTTTGTTTCAAATATAAATTTTGTGTTGTAATTACATAACATTATTTTTAAATTATTTTAAACATTTCGAAATGAAATTAAATTAAACATTTCCAAATAATATGAAAGTAAAGAAAAATTTTTGTCTTTATTTTTCTTTTGCTTTTTCTTTTTTTTTTGCTCTATAATGTAAACAAAAAAGAAAATTCTATTTAAAAAAAATATAAGTTTGTTTTTTTGTTTCCTTTATAGCAAAATGCAAAAATAATAAGAAAATTTTATACAATGTAAGTAACAAGTACAATAATTGAAAATAAGCTTAAAAATTTTAATTTATGAGAAAAGAATTATAAAAAAAAAAATTTAATACGTACGCAGATTTTATATTGTTTTGAATAGATATGTAAAGGGTAATTAATTAATTATAATTTATAAAAGAACTTTAAAAAATTTTGTTTGTATTAGTTTTGTATATGTATATACATTGAGTTAAATTTTAATATACATACATAAACAAAGAGTGAAAATCTCAATGATTTTCTTAAAATCTTAAGTGATTTGGTCTATATAAGGCAACCGGAATAAGAACACTTTGGAAAAAAAGATACTAAATGATGAGTTAAATGTTTTAGTCTATTTGTTTATAGAATTTAAAATACAAATAGTGTGATGAGTTAAAAAGGTTAATTATAGTTTACAAACACATTCAATGTTAAATTTCACAGGGTTATTTACTTTATATTTGGAATAATATTACTTTTGTCTCTTAACTTAAGATTTTTTTTTTACAATTACAATTACTTTCAACAAGGTATTTTATTTGCTCAACTGTTATTGAAAAATTTACATGAAATCAGCGCAGATTATAAATGAAAATTAACTTAATCGAGTTAAATTTAATTTACAAAAATCGTATTTTAAATTTGGTTTCAGATATTTTTGATATTTTCAGAAAAACTCAATTAAAGAAAATCATTATTAATCGATTTGCGTTAAACCAATGATTTGTGAAGTAGCACTTTTCCCATCAATAAGTGAAAATATTGCTTGTAAAAATAAAATCTATTACGTTATTGAAATTACTGTCATTCGTATAAATATCAAATTTTTCCAAAGATTGCATACATTTAGGATGAAAAAAAAATTGAAACATATTTATGATAAAATAATGCTCGAATTCAAGGGTTTTGCCAAAAGTAACCAAAAAAAAAATTAATTTAAAATTGGTATTAGGCCCATGTTTATTTTTAGAATTTTTAAAATTATAAACAATAATAAGAAAAGTAATTATTTTTAATTTTAGTTTTTCTTAAATATTTAAAGATGTTTAAGAATTTTTGTGAAATGGAATAAGAAATAAAATTAATATGAGTAGTTAATAAAATAAATGTTAAAGTATGTATATAGAGTTGTAAAGTATACTTTAAAAAAATATAATGACACACAGGCACATATACATACGTGTAGTAAGAAAAAACAAATTTATTTTTTAAGGGGTATTTCTTACGCACATGTAAAGAAAACTTTCTTAAAATAAAAAAAAAAAACAAAGAAAAACAAAATAAAACAACCATTCAAAGTAAAAACGAAAAAAGTAGAATAAACTTGAGTATTTGTCACTTTTCCAAGTTCCCGATTCTACTACATACTTATAAATATTACTATGTATGCGTGTGTTTGTGTAAAAAAAAGCTATAGCACTGACAAGCATTGTATTCCTATGAGTATCTACCAGGAAGGTATGTGTACACATATATTCAGTAAGAATATAAGTATGAAAAATTATTCCCATGACTATTTTATTTTTTTCCGAAATAAAATACAAAAATTTCATTTCAGTATACGAAAAAAAATTAAAGTCAAACTAGAAAATCATAATTTTTTTTTTCATAATTGTACCTAAAATTTGAACCTAGAAACATGTGAAATTTTTAGTCCCATAAATATTTTTATTATAATTTCATATAATGTTATACGTTCACCTTCTATAGTAATAACATATAGAAATATTATTTTCGGTACCTATATGAACGTACACATATATACATCCTTATACCTACATCTACTCATCTATATATATACGAATAAAATCAATGTTCTTAGGTTTAGGATACTACAACTACATTTATAAAATTTTTGGAATACCAAAAATACACATTTTATTGTTATATAGTACGGTACTTTTAGTTATTTTTTCTGCCCACCAGAATGTTATTTATTTGTATGTTTAAAAGTATATACGTATGAGTTCTACTATATTTTACGACTATATTTTCATTTTATTTTTTTCAGATTTTGGACTTTTCCTTATAAATTAGAAAATTATATGATAATTTATTTTAATATTTAGGATTAACACAAAGGCCTGCAATTTCCATCAAAAAATACAAAATTCGATCCCTGCCTAATTGAAAAATTTTGTTTTACTTTATCCTTGTATACCTAAGTATATAGAAATAAGATTTGGCATTTGTGTCATTTTTGGCAAGCGCTATTCTTGAAATGTCAAATACGAGTATATAATTTTTTTTAAATTAAATAAATTTGAATATATAGAGAAAAATTATAGCGTCTTAGCATATATATATATATATATATATATGTATATATATATAGAATAAATTTTAACAAGATTAATAATATCTGAATTGTTTTACAATCATTAATTTCCTCTCATATAGAATATAGATGTTATTTAGTTAATTAAGAACGTATTAACATCTACATACATGCGCAAGCAGATGTTTAGTATGTTCCTAATTTGTTAAGACTTTCTTTTCTAAATACTAAGATACTTGAAGGGGCTGATTTTTATATAAAAAGGAATAGATAATTAACATGAATAAAAGTTTATTATAAAAATATCAATTGAATTTTTAAATGTACGAAATAAATTATTAAATAATTTAGAATTATTTTATAAATATAATGTGATATAAAAAGAGAAGCTTAAAATCTTGTACTTTTCACCTAATTTCATTTAATTATGATCAATACAATCTAATTTCAATTGAATATTTTAAAACATTATTTTGTTGCGTGATTGTTGCAATTTTTGTTTATATACAATATTTATTTATATTGTATGTACATAATATATACATATATATGAATAGAATATCCCAATTCTATAATTCTTACCAAGTAATAATAATTTGATATCCTTAGCTGCTTGAATGCCATCCTCTTTTAAATTCCTTTCAATTAAACGACTACGAGCGGCTGCGGCCCTTTCCTCAGCAGACTGTGCGCAGCCCATTGTGCGTATTGCTTCTACACAAAACGTTTTGAAGGTCGTTGGAATCGGCCGTGAATGGCCGAATTAATACAATATGAAGAAAAAAATTTATATAAATTGTAAAAAAAAAAAATTGTTTTTTTTTTTTTTATTTTCTCCTTTACTTCAACCTTTTAATATATTTTTTTATTCGTTTTGTGCTCGTTCTTTAATTTACTTTAAATAATTTTTTTCCTTTTAATTTTACTCTTACTTTTTTGGTTTCTTATTGAAATTTCTTATAACCTATAGTATGTTGTGTGCGTGAAAATTTTGCAGATATTTTAAATTTAGAATTTAAACACTTTTAAAATTTTAGAAAATTTTTTTAATTTTTTTTTTTTGCAATAATTTGCAATAACAGTTGGTTTTTTTATTTTTGGTTTTTAAATATAATAAATTAGAAAATAAAAATCAAATTGGAAATCAAATATTTTTCAAAGCCATTTTCTATTTTAATCGGTTATAACAATTTTTCCGCATTAATATTCTTTTTAATCCTTATTTTTCTTCGATTCTTTTTGTTATTTTTTTAAATTATATATTTAGTTAGTTGATTCCTTTTTCCTCTTTTGTTTGCTTTACTTTATATGTATATATTTTTTTTTCACTTTAAATGAAGAAAATTTCCGCCACTATTTTAGTGTAATGTGGTCATGTCATACACGCAATTTATTTATTTTATTTTATTCTTTTTTTTTACATTTACGTGTATGTATTATTTTTATTACACATTAACATATATATATGTGTATACATACAATTTCATTTAAAAAATTATTGAAAAGTATGAATCACCCGTTTTTTTTTTTATTAAAACTTTCTTTTCAACTTTTTTAAGGAACTCAAGATTTTTGATCCCTTTTTCTTTATTTTTTTTTTTATTGCCTATAAGTATGCTTTATAGATGCGTATTTGTGTATATACATGTATAATTTTTTTGTATTTTTTTTTTTATTATTTATTTCTTTTGATCCTTATTGCTATATCCTATTTCGGTATGGAAAAAATAAAAATTGCACTACTACTCTTGTAAAATATTTATGATTGTTTTTTTTTTCTTCGTATAATTAAAATAATTATTTTTTTGTATGGAATTTGCAGGAAAATACAGAGTAAGAAAAAATTAAGAACAAAAACTACGTCAGATCAATATTTCTGCCATAGATTTTTTTTATCGCGAATATATATTTAGAGGTATACCTACTTGTATAATAAAAATTAAATAGACAAATGAACGAAAATATATTAGAGAAAAATTAGAATTTGTATGTATGTAGGTATGCGTATATATATATATATATATATATATTATATATATATTGTGTGTATGTAATGTGCTTATAGTATATTTTTCCTTTTATAATAAAATAGGAGTTGTGATATTTTTTTTCCTTTACTTTTACTTTTTTTTCTTCTATTAAATAGCAAATATATTTGTGCACATCTACAAGTAGCTATTCATCTATATGTACATATGTACGAATATATTATAATATTAAAATATATATGTTAAGCACATTTTATTAATACGAGTATTAAGAGAGAAAAATTTTTTAATTAAGTTTTCTTTTTTTTTTAATTTGCACTTAATTAAAATTTAATTTATGTTTTAATATTTTTGTTTTTTCAAGAAGAACTCCCAAAATTTTTTCCCCTTTTTTTGGCTTAAGAAGTTATACAAAAACTATACGTTTAGAGTATAAGACCATCAGAAACCACACATAAACAATTTTACTTCACACACGTATATGTACATATATATAAGATATTAGAGAAAATTTTATTTTTTCTTTTCTTCTCTTTTAAATATTAAATGTGTTCCCGCTTTTCAAGTTTTAAGAACCGCCATTTAATTATGAAGTTCTCAAAAATGAAATGAAAACATAATTTTTTAAAATTTTGTAAAAATTAATAAAACTATTTCGAAAAAAAATACCAATTACGAGTATAAGAATTTCCTTTAAAAACTTCAAAATTAAATTCCACAGTTTTTTTTTTTAATATGGCAAAAAAAAACAAAAAAAAAAATAAAAAAATCTGTATAGCTTTTTCTTGCCACTTCTTTTTTTCCTTTGATATTGTGAGCTGGAAAAGCCAGTAAAAGCACGAATAAAAAAAGGAAATTTTCGGTTTTTTTGTTTCCTTTTCTCTTTTGTTCTTTATATTTTTTTTTTCTTATTATTGAAAAAAAAATTTTTTTCCGAATAAATTTAAATTAACTTTTTTTTTTTGCGTTTGTTAAATTATTGATTAAAAATTAAAAATTAAATTAAAAATATTTTAGAAAATAAAAAAAATTTTTGGTTTTTTTTTTCTTTTATTACAAATACACGTTTCAAACCGAAAATTAGATGAGAAATAATTTTTATCTTTTTTTATATTTCTCTTTTTTTTGGAATTTTTTTTTTTTTAAATTTCAACCGATATTTTATACTTTTACTTGCACGAACTTATGTTCAATTGAATAATAAAAATTATTATTGAGAAAATATATGTGGAGCCGCCCCAAAGAACAAGGAAAACAGAAAAAAAAATTATAAACATAAAAATTAATAGAAAGAAAATCCAAGGAGAAAAAAAAGCTTTACGCATTATACGAGTACAAATGTAGTATAGCAAAGAGAAAAAAAAAACGTATAACTATATGCACCCCAATTAATTTTTAAAATTTCTGTTATACACTCTAATGGAAATCTGAATACATATACAAATTTTTTTTATTAATATTTTTTTACGGCTCTATATCTGTGAGAATTCTGCAAATATTACAACAATATATAAGAAAGAAAAATTACATGTTTGTCAAAAAGTGGCAACGATTTCAATTGCGGTGAGAGAATACTGATTAAAGTATAAATCAAACTGTAATACGAATGAAAACAGGGAGAATTTATAACAAAATTTATCTGTCGTTACGTTCACATTCACAAATACATATTTTAATAAATATTTTAGTAAATTAGTTTGTTATATTCAATGGCAGTACAGAAAATTTTATATTTAACGGGAATACTCGTAATTTTATTTTTTTTTTTTTTTGTTTTTTTTTTTTGAAGGAGTCATGCTTTTGATGCGCACTCAGAAACTTTTAAAGAAAATAAACTCGAAAAAAATTTAGTCTTTGGGAATATTAATTCAGTAAACTATTCAAATGTCAAATTTCTTTAGATGTATGTACATATGTAGGTACATAGTAAAAATAATTATTACAAAAAAAAGGAGTAAAAGAGTGTATAACTACAAAAGAGTTATGTATGACAATATAGATTCTGATTATAAACTTTATTATAATATGAATATATTTTGGTATTTATGACTGTTGTTATAATAATATAATTATAATAATAATTGATCACTTAACAAACATAGCAGTTGTCAATAAAAATTTTGAAGGGGAGACATGTAATTTACAGATTCCTTAGGTTGTTAGTTGTTATTAATTTTATTTTACTATTAGATAGCTAGATGTATTAATCAAGGACATATATTAGAAAAACTGATATAATTAATAAATCGAATGGCCCAATTCCCGGAAATTGATAAAATACAATTTAAAAGTGTTTAAAGATTATAAGAGGAAAAATAAATCGTATTTATCCCAAGACCGTAAAAATATATAAATAAAAATAAATCGATACAAGAACGTAAAAAATATATTTTAAAATCAGCTCATTAGGTATATACATAAATACATAATATGCAATATATAGTAAACTAGATGAGAAGGTTTTTGCAACTAGTTGCAATTATCTAAATACAATATGCATTTATTTGTACCTACAAAGACTATGACATCAATTACAAATATAGTAACATTTTAAAAATACATGTTCCTCGTAATGTTAAATTCATTCTTAAATACTTATCTCTTTATTTTCATAAAATACTGTTCTATAGTATTAGAAATTACAACTATTGCAGAATTATTGTAATAAAATACAAAGAAAATAAAAAAAAATGTCAACATAATTGAAAATAATTTAATTCCATTATACCGTGTATAATAAATTTGAAATAGAAAAAACAATGAAAAAAAAAAATTCTTTCCTCTCTAAAAATAAGCCTAAGTTTCCAGCTGACACATATTTTTTTTTCTTTTTACTTAACTGGATTATTAGTTTTTCTTCCATCATTGTGTTAGTGAAATTACTTTGGATTTGTATGAAATTTGATTGTAGAAGAGAATTTTACAGAGTTTTTTATTTTATTTTATATTTTAATTTTTAGATGGATACTCGCTGTACATGCGTGATATTGAAATAGTGTACATGCGCTTAAAATATTTTTCTTTTTTCTTTTTTGATACCTCACATTGAAATTCTCTCGCCGAAATCATCATAGTGTAAAGTATACGAAAACTTTCATATTCCAGTTTCATTTCTTACTTTGCTTTTGCTTTTTTCTTTTGTTTCTGCTCATATTACAATATTATAATTATTATTTAAATAATTTGCCAATATTGCCAGATGCATTGAAACGGTATTTCAATTTAAAATTTTTAATACTTAGATTTTGGAATATACTCATTTTTGTAAATTCATATGCATACGTATATAAAGAATAATTATTTCTATGAATATATAAGTATGTGGATAGGCACTTGCTATGAGTAAATTCAGAAAGAGGCAAAAATTTTTCAAATAAAGTTAAGAAATAAGGTATCGTTACATCTTTTATTTACATGTAACGTATAGCTCCAATAGCTTAAGAATGGATATTCGTAAAAAACATAACTGTAATCATTTTTGTTTTTGTTATCAATACAAATAATGGAATATGAATTAAAATTCCTATTATTTGCATTATAAATAGTACTTTATATTTGAATTTTTATTTGGACAAATAGAATTGCCACAATATTTCAACAATAAATATTAAAATGGTAATTAAAACCCTTCAAAATTAAGCTCATTTAATGAGGAAGAAAAACAAAGACGTTATGTAGCAAGGAGTATTTGATTCTTTTGATAAATGATTTGCTTAACAATAGTGAGGCGAAATTTATTCAATATTTTTTGTCTTTATAGTTACTTTTGACAACTTATTCCAACAAATCCGTTTTACGTGGGTCTGATCTTAAAATATTAAATATATGTTTTTTTAATATTAAGTTAACAAAGGATATGTACTGTTAAAATTCATTTCTCATACACAACAACAGCAATAAAACCAAAATAAATTAAGTAAAATAGGAAAAAGAAAAACATGTACGAAGATATGATAAATATTTTAATAAATATATAAATAAATAACATGTACATAAACATATGTTATTAAAAGTACATGTAAAAAAAATTACCACAAAAATCAAAAGAAAAAGGTAAAAACAAAAAATATACACAAGAAGAAAATAAGGGACAACATGAAAAATAAAAAATCCTGATTGATCCCTATGGACTTTTCTTTTATTCTATTTTAATAAACAACAGTTTTATGTAATACAGAAAGAGAGAAAAAAAACTTACGAACAGCTAACAGCCTATTAAATGTGGAAAATGAAAAAGTTATTATTTTTTTTATTTTTTCTAATATTTTGTGCGTTTTCTTTTATTAAGACTTAAGATGAGAAGATGATAATAATCATACGCTTATAAGAAATATCATATAAAAAAAATATAACAATAAATTGTATATGAATTGTATGAATATCACATTTTTTTTGAATGTATGTATACTCGTATGTATATATATGTAATACTGTATTTTTGGCGAAATTGAATTTTTTTTTTCTTTTGTGTATTTCATGAATGTGTGTATTAAAATATGAATTAAGTTTTTCCAGTTTTCCACTTTTGAACATGCGCTTTTTCAATTAAACATTAAGAAGTGCCTATTCATAATTACAATAAATATATGTAAGTATAATATGTGTATATATGTATAACATTATGTACACATCATATACATATATACAGGCAAGCTGATACTCTTTACATACCCGCGCATTCATATATATGTAGGTATGTAATATATGAATTTTATAACCAAAAAAAAAAGCATTTTTGTTTTAGTTGTTTTTGTGAGCAAATAAAGAAAATAATTTCAATAACAGAAAAATTTTACGAGCTTTACTCACTTATGGCTTTATTTCTAATCCTTATACCTATACATATTTAAACATGTATATCCATACAAATATAAATGGGTATATGTAAATCATATAGTCACAATTTTCGTTACAAAATATAATATGTACATATAATTATAAATTTATATTTATTTTGTTTGTGTATAAATATTTCATACTTTATGAAATTTATTTATAAAAAATAAGAAGAAAATTTAATTCAAGAGATTTTTTTTTTATATTCTTTGCACATTGTACAATATATATATATATATATATATATATATGTATATGCAAATATACATATGTATACACAAATTTCTGCACTTATATACGAACGTAAATAGTTTATAATTTAAATTCAATTTCATATGAATAACATAATGAACATAAAAATATGTATATGTACACAATTTAAAATATTTATGTATGTCGTACAATTACCCTAAGTATGTTTATAATAATGTTTTGATTTTTTTAAGGGAAATTGCAAGAAAAACACAACATAAAATATTTGTTTAGCCACTTGTAACGTCACAGTAATAGTTTCAGAAGGATACGGTAGATACGTTAATATATATATATGTACGTATGCATTAAAAGGAATTCAATTTTCCAATTTAAACAATTGATGTTAAAAAAATTTTTTTCACATTTATGAAAAATTCTTTTATAAAAAGATAAAAATACAATTAAAAGAGAAAAAGAAATATTATTTAGGTTTACAGTAAAATACGGCTACAAGGGTTAAGGAAAAAAACTTTTTAGTTTTCCTTAATTAAACGTAGTCGAGTAAAAACCCAAAATATTTTTAAATATGCTTTTTGAAAGGATGTCGCTATAAATATTACGAGATTTAACTCCTCTAGGTCAAAATATAGAAAATTAGCTACTCTATACTACAGAACACAGAAAGTTAATAACATGCTTATCACAACTACCCTCAAAACACGTGATTTTTCAACTTAATATAAAACTTCATACTTAAAAACAAATAAACCACATCCCATTTTAAAAAAAAAATATTGGGGCGTTCCAGTTAAGTTGATAATAAATTGCATCTAAATATTTCTTTAAAAAACAATATATTTTAATATTTGAAGATACCCATTAAATTTCTGATTTATTTTCATTGAATTTCGAATTTGCATTTAGAGTAATCTACGGCATTTTAAGAACTGTTAGATTGACTTTCATTTTCATCAACCTTTAATCATTTCATCGTGATCTATTTGAGCATAAATTCTATCAACAAAGCTAAAAAGAATGCATAAATTATAATTATATGACAAACTAGTTAATAGTTTTAATCAAATCGGCTTATTCCAATATAATATATGTACGAAAAATTCTGCAATATGAAGTACAGAAAAACTAGAAAAAAAGCTGGAAATATACATACGTAGGTATCTTTTCTAACTTTTTCTATCTACTTCAATTAGCTTGCATCAAAAAAAGTTTGCTAATAGCTGCATCCCGGGGGAAAAACAACTCAAAATACAATTAAAACAAACCAGCCTTTTAAGTTGGAAATTTCTAAAATAAATTTAATTTTTTTAATTTTATATTTTTGGTAAATTTCAGCCTTTAAATTCCATCTACCTACCTTTAAAATTCAAAACAAAATATTTTAAGTCTTGGCTTTTAATTAATTTCACGTTTTAAATTAAATGAAATTATAATGAAATCTTAACCTAATGCTTACCTAGAAGTAAAAGTTTAATGTCTTTAGCTGCTTGTATACCATCCTCTTTCAGATTCTTTTCAATTAACTTTGATCTGGCTATAGCAGCTCTTTCTTCAGCTGATGTTGTACATCCCATTTTTGGCAAAGAAATCTATAAGTAATCCTATAATAAAAAAAATTATTAATCAACTGAAAGAAATATGTGTCTATCAATTATATATGCTTTATCTATCTATAGTAATAAAAAGAAATTTATAATTATTATAGTAAATTATTTCATTTATTCAATGTTCTTTTTTCGTTTTCTGTGTTTATTCGAAATAGCCTTTTGTAAACGAATTAAAAAAACCGACTTGTAGATTCTATTATCAACGAATGTTTTATTTGCTTAAATTAACGATTATTCAATACATTAGTCATTTTAGTGATAAAATTTCTTCTACTACGATCATTCAGGTTGAAAGTTTTTATAGTTTACCAATTTTTATTTGAATAGCTACCTATAGAAATATAGTAGATAGGCAGCTATGTACACATGCCGTTGTGCAGAAACATTAAAGTATATTATAATACTTATATATGTACATACGTATTTGAGAGCATATTTCATATTTTTTATTTTATTCAATTAAATTTATTTTAAAAAAAAAAAAACAAATTTTTTTATCTTTATTGAAAAGGATATCTGGCAAGATACCTACATATTTGATGATAGAAGTATGTACATATATAATGTATATCGATATAAGAAATGTATACCACTATGAAATTTGTGTGAAATGAATGTGGAATATAAAACTTCATCCAAATTTTTTTGAATTTATTTCCTCTTACATTTTGTAGCCAAATCAACATTCATTTTTCTGTTTTTGTTACTATATTATGATTGACTCATATTTACCAAAATTGACTAAATATATTTCAATACACTTTTCGCATAATAATATTATATGTGTAGATATAAATTAATCTGAAATTTTGCAAATTACTTTAAATATGTATGTTTAGATTCAATAGAAAAAAAACCTTTTTAAAATGCATGTACATACATATGAATATGACTGTTATCAAGGCGTGACGTTTGCTAAACCGATATTTGCCTATAATTTTGGCTTTTGTTTAAACAAGTATTTTAATTATTGAAATCATTTTTATTTTGCGTTTATAAAAATTATTATAAATTTTTTTCGATATTTGCCTCTAATTTTACACTTTTTAATACACAAAATACTATTTTATTGGAAAATTATTAACAAGGAAAAAGTCCTGTCCACACCTTTATTTTAAAGGATATGTTTTTATAGAATTTGTTTAAATTACCTATGAATTATGAAAAATATAACTAATACTAGGTGTTTTTACACTTCTTTTGATTAAATTAATATTTGTTTTTACAATTTTGACTTATTTTTTTAGTAAAATAAGAAAAATAACTTCTTATTGTGATTGTTGCACTAAACTAATAAGCTTTTTTCCTATGAAACAAGAAATGTCATATTATAAGTCAAACAATTTTCAAAATTTTGCTATTGCCCAAAGATGTCGCATTAGTCGGAAATTTGTTTTCGGTGTGAAAAATTAAAAGTGTTCAGAAAATTGGTTAAATTTGACTATTGCATAAAGTTTAGGAATATTTGAGTTGAGGGTTTAATCGAAATCGAATATGTGCGTATTAGGCCTTCAGTAGAATGCGAATTATGCATTGCATATTATGGTTTCTGCAAAGCTGCAGTTAACTAAGTAAATTTTAATAAGCTTTGTTTCGTGATTGTATTGTTTTTCAACAAAATTTATAGTTTAATTTGTATTCATGTAAACCTATATTTTGACATTGTCAATATATAGGTTTTCGATATTTATTTTACATTTATTTAAAATAAATGTAAAATTAATAACGAAAACATATTGCTTATTGAAATTTAATCGAAATATTTTTTTTTAATTCTTGTGTTGCCAAGAAGCCTAAATATTAATTTTCAATGAATATACACAAAGTACTTTTGTCATTAATTTAAAAACTTATATTTAAGTTTCATTTCTTGGAATGTTCAATTATGAACATTCTAAATAAAATACAAATGTTTTCTTATTAAGTAAAAATAAGTGGGTGCAGATAAAATTGAACATTTTAACCATTTAAACAGACATATTTTTCTAAACTCAACATAATAAAATGTTTCATAAAATATAAATATGTGCTATAGACCACAGATTAATTAAATTAATAGACTGGCAATAGGATCTTTATTTTTTCCCCAACAATGTCCTATCTACCCACTTTAAAATAACATTAACAGAATATATTCGTTAAAAGAATATTTTATAAAATATAAAAATTTAAAAAAAAAAACATATTTATTTACACACAACTAATTATAAAAATACAAAATATTTTTCATAATATACTTACTCCAAGAGATAAGAGAAGTAATAAACTGCTTCTTTACGCAATAATGTTATTATGTAATGTTGGTAAAAGTTGTTATACTAACCCAACCTATTTAATCAAAAATACGATAAGAACCAACATAACATAATTCCAACACAAAGCAGCCGATTTGTAGTTCTTAAATTTCTCAACTTAAGTTAAAGAATGGCTGCATTCTTCCCTTTTAAACCAAATTGCCACTAATCAACAAAATATGTACGCTTTCTGATTTTTAATTTTCTATAAATTTACAATCTACATAAATTGTTTTGAACTTAAATTACAATTTTTAATATCTTTGGAGCTTACAAACAGCATAATATTGCTATGTCTGTGTTTCTTACATAATTTATAAACTTCTTATATTAAATAATTTCATTCTTTAAATTTTTGCCAAATCATGCATTTGCATAAAATTCTGATACAGAAATGTTATCTCTTAATTTTATCTGGACTTAATTTGATTTTTCCAAATATAAACCGCTATTCTTATTTCAACTTTGTAATGAAGACATTTGATAGAAAATCTCTTTAACTTTCTGTAAAATAGGGATGCTGCATTGCCTCCTCCGCGCTTATCCTTTGATTTGGTCGGCAAACTAAAAGTTTTTGTAATAAATCTCTCCCTTTTGAATTCAATCTTGGCACAATTTGGCTCCAAGAACTTATTGGAGGAAAAGCTAAAAGTAAGTAGTACAATATGAGTTGAAAAAATACTGAAAAGTTTACTATAAATTTAATTATATTTACATGGCAGTGATACGTAATCGGATAAATGTGTAACACCAGGCCAGCTTTCTTCAGTTGGTGTACCTAGCACTCTAAATATTCTCATCAATTGATCCAAAACATCGGAACCTGGGAAAAGTGGGCGACCAGCATCAGCAAGCTCCGCAAAAATACATCCGGCGGACCACATGTCAATACTAGTTGTATATAACTTTGCACCAAACAATACATCTGGTGGCCTATACCAAAGTGTCACAACTTCTGCTGAATAACATTTGACTGGTATACCAAAAGCACGAGCCAAACCAAAATCAGCTAACTTAAGTTCTCCGTTTTTATTGATTAATAAATTTTGTGGTTTTAAATCCCGATGTAGCACGTTGTGACTGTGACAAAATGCTAGCCCTCTTAATAATTGATACATAAAACTCTTACAAACATCTAAGTCTATATCTCCATTTAAACTATCAAAGTACTTTTTTAGATCTTGATCACAATGTTCAAATACTAATGTTAATTTTTTATCGGAATGTAAGACTAAAATAAAGATTTTACATGAAAATTATTCAAAAAACAAAACATAAATAAATAAATAAATACCATCATAAAGTCGCACAATATTTTTATGTTTTAATTCTTTAAGAAGGCATATTTCTCGTAGTGCTGAACTGGGTACCCCTTCATCATCTTCATCTAATCTAACCCGTTTAAGAGCTACAATTTCCATTGTATCTCTATTACGGCCTTTAAAAACTGTGCCATAAGTACCTTCACCAATTTTTTCAAGTTTTTCATATTTTTGCATGATGATATTCCTCCTAACGACCTAGCTTTTGCAAAATAAAAAAACTTGTATAGTACAGAAACAGTTGAAATTTTCTTAGTAAATTTATGATACATTAATTTATGACATATTTCTGACATAAGAGCTATTGTTGACTTTTTGTTTGCTGTCAAAACAAGCATAAAAATGTCAATATGGCAGTTCTAAATAACCAAGGTAGAGATAGCGACGATATATTAATGATTTTTATGTCGTCATCGTTTAGTATATTTATCGTTATTTATATTTCTATAACTTCAACACGGTTACAAAATAAATTGTTTTTTAAACTGAACTTATAAATTTATTATCTTTAATCACTAAATTTACTATAAAGTTGTTTTGAACTAACGCAAAAATTATTTTAGAAGTAAAGAATCTTTACTAAAGATATAACAAAACGATCTATTACCAAAGAACGCTTTTATGTATTCTGGAATAGAATGTAAAATAACCAAACAATGTCGATTGTCTTGTCGATTAAATTGACAATTTAAAAAGAATAATGAAAATCAAACTCAGTAATCAGTTTGCTAGTTGTCATCAGGGATTCAAGATCTTTGTAGTGGAAAACGAGAAGTGAATATTTAGAAACACTTAATAATTTTTTGTTGTTTAACATTTGATAGAAAAACTGTTAATGATTATTTTATTATTATTTAAACTTATACAGATGAAAATATAAGCTTAACAAAAAATATTTATTAAACACAACAATAAATACTCCACAATAGTATCGTTTGTTGAGTAAGCAATAATTTAAACTTAAGGTGTTACTCCCCTTTTTATGTAGCATCAAATATAATTGAAATGTTCCTATGAAAATTAAAGGAAGTTGTAATTAAAATGAGATAGTGTTTAACTATAATGATAAATGATTTACATGGTAAAGATTAAATATAAAAAAAAGTGAAAAATAACAAAGTAGAGCGTCGCAAAATGGTTCCGCTTAAAGATAATATAGATTTGGAATGTTTTTTGGTTACTAAACATTCGTGGAAAGGCAAATATAAAAGAATTTTGTCTATAGGATCTACTGGAGTTTCTACGTATAACCCAGAAAAATTTGACTTAACAAATAGGTGGCTGTATTCTGACATTGTAGCTGTTACTCCCAATAAATCATCGAATGTATGTATATTTAAAACAATTTAAATGGAAATTACAATTAGAAAAAGATAAATATACATATTTATATGTCTATATACTTATATATAAGTATGATAATGATGATATTTTTGTTTTTATTTTTTTTAAAGATCCCAAATGAATTCCAGCTAACATTGAAAAAAGATAGAAAACTAGATAATATTAAATTATCATCTGAGTACCGCAATGATATTTTGAGCTCTTTGTTGAGATATTACAAGGAGTTCGCAGAAAAACCTAAAAATATCGCGGTAAGATTTTTTACTAATAATGAATGGCTTTTAAACACCTTTATTATTTAAAATGCAGAGATTTCAGGCTTATAAATACCATTGGTCGGGTATTAGTCTGCCAACAGTGCTTGAAGTTACTCCATGTTCCTTAGATCAACTGGATCCAACAACGAATGAAGTACTAGCTAGTTACATGTATAAAGACATGCAAGGAATCATAGGTAAAAATGTACCCAGATTATAATTTTTTGTATTGTTTTCTTTCTCAAGCGTAACGTTAATTTTTTTATTTTAATATCAAGCAGGTATACAAAATTATGAAGGAGGTATTGTTATGGCCTGCGGCGGATTTAGTCGGCTTCATTTGTTTAAATCCACAAATCATCATGAAATAGTACAGCAAATAACCCAAAGAGCATCACAATTTTTGGCCATAGATTTAAAAATATTAAAATCCCAAATAACTTTAGAACAATTTCAGCAGCAAAGATTCGGAAAATATTGGTATATCCATCTATATGATTAATTTTGCTAACCAGAATGTTTTTAAAATTTTATAATTTTTTAATGTAGTGGGGATGAATTTCAAACATCGATGACGGAATTCACTGTACAGAAAATTACATCACGTCATCCTGAACCAGTAAAACGTATTCTTTGCCTTACTGAAACAACAATTCTTGAAAGAGATCCTCAAACTTATAGCGTATGACAGATTAAGAAAAATTATGATAAAATTAATTTTTTTTTATTTAGGTGTGTACTTTAAGACCGTTAGTTGAAATTTTTGCATTAGTTCGTGACTCAGAAAATATTCAAAAATTTCATATCGAATATAAAAATGGGGTTGTTCGTAAATATAACACAAACGACAGGTTTGAGTTAAATTATCATAATGAGTTTACATATAATATTTTGTAATTTATTTTCAGAGATTCTGTTTTAGCAACAATTCTTGATGCAGTACGTTCAAGTGGTAATCCAGATGTTCATGTTCGTATTAATAGTACCCCTAGAGGCAAGCGTGTCGTTCCTCTTGATTATACGGTTGATGAAGAAACCGAGGCGAATCTCTTAAGACTAGTTATAAATAATTTTCATAATCAATCAAGAAGATCTGAAATTTTAGAGCGTTTTAATGCTAATATTTCTCATAGTGGATTAAAATACAGTGTTACGCAAGATGTGAGAAGCAAAAACTGTATGAGTCTTATATGAAATTTAATTTTTTATTTTTAATTTAAATAGAGTTTATTTGCTGAGAATAAATCGAAACTTATTTTAAGTGCTTTACAATCATTAGCTCAAAAAGAAGTTGACAATCCTACTGCTCAGCTTTCGAATTTTGAACTTGAAGCAACCTTTCATGCTTTAAGTCGTTTACTTGCAACGAAGGTTGGATATGCTGCATTCACATCATTACAAGGGTTTGTACAATATTTTACAACAAAAAATTTAAATATTTTAAATAATTAAAAAATTAAATATTTTAAATAAATAAAATTTTTGTTTAGATTCAGAGAAATAATAGGAACAAAGGTTGTAGCTTCATTGCGCAGAAATGATTTAGCCGTTACATATGCCGCTATTAATATGATCAATTCACTAATGCATTCAATGAATGCAGATCATGATTTGAGACAAGAACAGCTTAACAAATCTTCAATTTTGTCTTCAAAATCATTTTTAGAAACGTTATTGAACATGTGGACAAATCATGTTGTAAGATTTTATTCGATACTTTTAATATTTTAATCGCTATTTTTATTTTGAAAATGATATTAAACATTAAAATTATTATTTTAGAGTCATGGAAGTGGCGCTTTAGTACTTTCGGCAATGTTAGATTTTCTCACTTTCGCTTTATGTGTTCCTTACAGTGAAACAACTGATGGCAAGCAATTTGATATTCTTTTAGAAATGGTTGCAGATCGTGGACGATATTTATATAAACTGTAAAATTTGACTAAAGAATTTCAAAAATGTTTTTATTTGTATTAAAAATCAAATACTTAGGTTTCAACATCCATCACTTGCAATTGTGAAAGGCGCAGGGCTGGTTTTGAGAGCAATTATTGAAGAAGGCGAAATTTCAATAGCAAAACAAATGCAATCTTTAGCTTTAGATGAAGCTGCTTTATGTAGACATCTTATAACTGCATTATATACACCATCCAATGACCCTACATTGGCTACCCATCGTCAATTATCACGGCACTTAGTTAGTTTATGGATTACTGACAATGAAGAAGCAATGGAATTATTAAAACGAATTTTTGTATGTAGAATTTTTTTTACACAAGATTTAATTCATTTAATAAAAAATATTTTAAAATATTACTTTTTTTTGCATCGCAGCCTGCTGGTCTGTTAATGTTCCTTGAAAGTGAAGAAACAGTGTCAGAAGTTGAGGAAGATAAATTGAATTTTCGTGATAATTTGAAATTTGCTATTCAACATTCCAACAAAACTAAGCGAACTGCAATCGTGAAACATTTAGAAGTATTTTTGCTGAGTGTGTTCTAATTAATATTAATAACTTTATTAAAATTATTTTAGGTTTTAAAACATTGGGGCATGAGCTTGTTAGATCAGCAAGACAATGTTAATCAATCTATTAAAAATCGGCCAGTGGTATTAAGAAACAGAAGACAAAAAAAGAAAACGACTGATTCTATTGTAAATTTACCATACTTCTTTTATAATTTTTCTAAGGATCATAATCTACCAAATTTAATTTGGAACCATAAGGTAGATAAATTATTTTGATTGAATCAATAAACAGTTTCGCATATATTTTAGACTAGAGAGGAATTGCGTATGTGTTTGGAAAATGAATTAAGGCAGTTCATATCTGATCGTGATTTGGCCGGGAATATGGTCGTAGCGTGGAATTTTCATGAGTTTGAAGTTCAATACCAAGTATATTTTTGTTTTCAAATCTTTATCATTTCTGATTTTTAGAAAATATTTTTAATAATGTTTATTTTAATGGTTTTTTTAGTGCTTGGCCGATGAAATTAAAATTGGTGATTATTATATAAGGTTAATTCTAGAAAAAGACGATTGGCCACAAAATTTAGTGAAAGATCCGTAAGCGCCCAAATTGAAAAAAAAAACTTAATTAAGATTAATTACTTTCTTTGTAGAATTGAGTTATTTAACGCTTTATACAGACGAGTGTTATGTAGAAATCGTATGAATGACGACCAAATGACAGTAACTTCCTTACAAGCTTTAGCGAAAGTTTATAAGAGATATCATGAAGAAATAGGGAAATTTAGTGATATGACCTATATTCTGCAGTTACTTGATAGAGTAAATTTAAAAAATGTTCAATCGTTTTAATTAGTAAACATAAATATTTTTCTATTTGTAGAGTTTAATACCGTCATTAAGAGATGCCCTTATAGGGTTAGTGAAGTGTCTTGTTCTTGAAAAATCAAATTGTAGACCAATTGTTGATAATGTACAAAGTTTAGTGGATTTGGTTACTTTGGCCCATTTATATAAAGGGAGAGCCATTCCTAATACTAAAACAAATCTGATTGAAATGGCACCAGGTATGCAGCATTTTGAGGAAAAAGATTGGTATTATAATATCGAAAAGGATGGGGGAAAACCTGAGCGCCAAGGTCCAGTAACTTACTCTGAGGTTTTGAAATAATTTTTTTTCCATATGCTATTTTTTCTTACTGAAACCTTTTCAGTTAAAGGAGCTGTGGACGAAAAATATAATTACAGCAAAAACCAGATGTTGGGCAACAGGTATGGATGGTTGGCGCTCATTACAGCAAATACCACAACTAAAATGGTGCCTGATGGCAAAAGGACAACCTATTTACAATGAATCCGAACTTGCATCTCATATTTTAGATATATTAATCAAATGTACTAGCTTTTTTCCAAGCCGTACGCAAAATGGGACTGCTGTACTTATACCTGGACCTAGATTATCGAGACGATTGTCAGAGTTTATTTGTTTACCACACATTGTGCAGGTATGCTTAACACATGATCCCGGTCTTTTAGAACGTGTTGCTACACTTTTATGTCAAATAATGGAAGATAATCCTGAAATGCCAAAAGTTTATTTGACTGGTGTCTTTTACTTTATGTTGATGTATACAGGTAGTAACATATTACCTATTGCAAAATTTTTAAAAATGACACACATGAAACAAGGTTTTCGAAGTGAGGAGGTACTTATAAACAAAAAATAACAATTTTGAGTTTTGGCTTATTTATTTATACACATTTCAGAGTTCTCAGTCTGGGATTATGCACAGAAGTATATTAGGACATTTATTACCCGAAGCAATGGTATGCTTTTTAGAAAATTACACCGCAGATAAATTTGCAGAAATTTTTTTGGGTGAATTTGATACACCTGAAGTAATTTGGAGCTCTGAAATGCGCCGTTTGCTTATAGAAAAAATATCAGCTCATATCGCTGATTTTACCCCAAGGCTGAAAGGTCATACTATGGCAAGGTTTGTATTAATAAAATAACAATTGAAGTGTATGGAACGTATTGAATTATTCGTAACCCGTATTTAGGTACCCGTACTTGGCGATTCCGGTTATCAGTTATCCACAATTGGAAAACGAATTGTTTTGTCATATTTATTATTTAAGACATTTATGTGATACTCAAAAATTCCCAAATTGGCCGATATCTGATCCTGTTCAATTATTAAAGCACACTCTTGATGCTTGGCGCAAGGAGGTTGAAAAGAAACCTCCTCAAATGACTGTGCAACAGGCATACGAGGATTTAGGAATTGATTTAACTAAAATTCCTAAACCTGACGAATCAATTGTTCGTAAAAGTTATTATCGCTTGGCCCAAATGTACCATCCAGATAAAAATCCAAAAGGAAGGGTAAGCAAAATACATTTATATGAAGAAGAAAATTTCATTAAAATTTTTATTTAGGAAATGTTTGAAAAAGTAAGTCAAGCTTACGAGTTTCTTTGTTCGCGTTCAAGCTGGAGTAGCGGAGGTCCTAACCCATCAAATATTGTTTTAATTTTAAGAACTCAAAGTATACTTTTTGAACGATATCCAGATGGTATGTTGGTTTACGATTACCATATCAAAAAATTAATAATAATTAAATTTTTTGGCAGTTTTACATCCATATAAATATGCTGGATATCCGCAGCTTATTAAAACGATTCGTTTAGAAACAAAAGATGATCAATTATTTTCGAAGAAGGTGCCATTGTTAACTGCAGCTTCTGAGTTATGTTATCATACTGTTCATTGTTCTGCTTTAAATGCTGAAGAGCTACGTCGCGAAGAAGGATTAGAAGCTTTATTAGAAGCCTACACTCGATGCGTTTCAATAATTGGAGCTGATTCCAAACCAGATTCAGTGCATTATCAAGTTATAACAAACATTACAAAATGCTTTGAAGTAGCTTGTAATTTTGAGAATTGTAAACAAAAAATAATTAGCTTGCCACAATTGATCTCAGATGTGTGTCGAGTCGTGTATTTCAAGGTAAATAGAAATATCATATTCGTATAAAATTATAATGAAACAATTCAATGTTTTATGTAGCATATAATCTCAGTTAGCTTAGTGACTAACTTAGGGGCAAATAATTACGATTTACAGTGTAATTTGGTTAAGAATGGTGTATTATGGTCTTTGCTATTGTTTTGTTTCGAATTTGATTATACTTTAGACGAGAGTGGTGTACAAGCTGATGAAAAATCAAATAATCAGAAGCTAGCTAATAATTTAGCAAAAATGTCAATATTAGCTTGCGTTGCTCTGTGTGGATACACTTTAGAGAAAAAAGTGAATGAAAATATTGAAAGTGAAAAGTTAAATGAAGTTAAAAGCACGAAACAATCTCCGCCTGCTTCTTCGCCAACAACATCGTATACACAAAATGCTCAAAATTTAATTCAAAATAATGAAAATTCCCCAGTAACACGTCAAAATTCTGTTGATAGAACACAACAGAATTCACCTGAATGTAAAGAAGTTATAGTACCAACGCTACCAGCTGAAAAAGAAAATATAGTAAGTCACCAGAAATATGTGATTTCAGGGGAGCCCAAAAATGTATTGGTAAAGCAGATTATCGACAAATTATTGACCCCAAATATATCAAATAAAATTGCAAGTGAGCCTGAGGGTGAAGTTTTGAAGATTTTAACATCTAATAATAGAAATCCATATATTATATGGGATAATGGTACAAGAGCCCAACTCTTAGATTTTTTGGAATTTCAACGTAATCAAGCTTCAAAAGAAATTTATGATGATATAACTAGCGTTCATAATGCAATTTCGGATTTCGAATTTGATGCTTATAAGTAATTTTCAGTTTATATATAAAACAAATATACATATTTCTAAGTTGAATTATTCATATTTTCTTTTTTGATTTAGAGATGAATTGAAAATCGGTGGAGTTTTTATTCGTATTTACAACGAAATGCCAACATTCCCAATTATAAATCCAAAATCATTTATCCTAGACATTCTAGAATATTTGAAGCAGTCTTATAAATACTTAAATTCAAAACATTTAAAAAATAATACAAATAATTCGAATTCAGCGAATAGGCCCTACGAACAATCCGGTGGTATACTAGTACCAACATTAGCACCGAATCATCCAAACTACAATAATAATACAACAACAAAAAATAAAACAACATTTGATGAAGTTTTGAACGCGTACAATAAATCTAAAATAAGGAAAAAGATCGAACAGGACGCTGAACATGAATATAGAAAATTACAATATGATTTTGTAAATAATGTAAATATCGAAAAACATACAATATTAGTATTGCGTGCTCTAATATCTGTGATAAAATCTAATCCTGGAGTTGAAATGCAGTGTATTGGTTACTTTGATATGATATTTGGTTTTCTTTCTAATAACATATGCGAGGAGGTAAACAATTATTAATAAAATATTTAAAAAATTTTTTTAAAGATCAGCATGTGTAATAGATTAGTTTCCGCTATTTTTCCAGAGTGCTGTAGTTAAAGAATTAGCTTTGGAAATTGTCGCATTAATTTCCAGAAATAAAGATTGTGTTAATGAAATAGCAGCATGTGAGTTGTTGGGAAATTTTTTGGTATCTTTAAAAGATTTCGAATTAAGAGATCAACAGTTAAGAGTTTTGGAAACTCTTTCTGGTTTATTAAATATTCAAGAAATGGTAAAAGAAGCCCAAAATAAAGGTAAAAATATAAGCGTAATATGTATCTCTGAACTAAATGAAATAATTATGTGAACATATTTTAGGCGCTGTTATTTATTTGTTAGATCTATTCTGTAGTTCAAGAAATCCGCAAATGCGAGAACTAAGTGCCGAAATTTTAGCAAAAATGGCGGGTGATAGATTGAGTGGTCCAAAAGTAAGTTGATAAAATGGACATTTTTAAATTTTTGGTCTTTTTGTATATTTTTCCATGTCATACATAAAATATTGATTTTTAAATCTAGGTTCGTATCACCGTTTGTAAATTCTTACCACCTTTATTTATCGATGCAATGATTGAGTATCCTCAAACATCCGTCCAGTTATTCGAATCTATTCATGAACATCCCGAATTAATATGGAATGATAAAATAAGAACCAAAGTATGTGATGCTATTTCAGACATGTGTGAGGGGTAATATCTAAGATTTAAATATTATTATACATAACATTACATTAAGAGCAAATTATTTTTTAGCTTTTATAATACTCAGAAAGTAAATAAAAATATTTTGTGGAAAGATCCTGAAATATTAAAGGAAATCACTACAAACGAGATTGTAATATCTGGGGTTTATATACGCTTATTCGTTGATAATCCAGCATGGACTTTGAGAAAACCAAAACAATTTCTTTCTGAGCTACTTGATTTTGTTGTTGATCAAATAAGTAAAAGCTCTTCAGAGGTGAATAAAAAGCTTTTTTTAAGCATGCAAAATATAAAATATCTTACTAATTTTTATAGAAAAATAGTATTGAATTGTCTACAAAAGCATTAGTGGAATTATTGAGAGCCCAACCTAATTTGACAGATGAAATTCCAGTTTTAGGTCATATTCCCAAACTTTTTAATTTACTGGCAGTTCAACCAAAACATACTCTATCAGTATTACATCAACTTTCAGTCTCAGAAGTAAGTGATTTTTACTTAATCTTTTGTTTGACTTTTAAATAATATAAACTTTAGTAGAGTTTATGTTTAAATTAACACAATTTTTTAAGATTAATCTTTCCTTAATATTTAATATTTTAGTTTTGTGTTGGAGCCATATCTCAAACAGAATGTATATTACCACTTAAAAAATGTATGGAATATCATAAAGAACTAATTGATAAGGCTTGTGAAACTTTAAGTCGTTTATTCAAACATCAACATGTAAAGACTTTTTTTTTGTTCTAATATAATTGTTTTATATTATATATAATCAATAATAATATGATCATTTTTGGTTTAGGATACTCTAATTAGTCAGTCGCTAGAAGTAAAACTGATTCCTTTTTTATTGACGTTATTAGAAACAAGATTAGATTTTGTTGAGAATTCATCAGCCGTTAAAGCGCAAATTGTCTCAGCTTTAAAAGCCATGACATTAAATTTAAGTTATGGTGAGAGGGTTACGCAAATATTAATTAAATATCCAGTATGGAATGAATATAAAGATCAAAGACATGATCTATTCATAACAGACAGTAATGTCCGAGGTTATTTAACAGGTACATATAAATAATAATTTAAATTATTATTATTTTTAACACATTTTTTATTGCTTATTGCAGGTGTTAATCCTACCGCTGGATATCTTACACAAGGTCCCAGCCAAAATGTTGAAGTCTTAACATCACCTCCCCCAATTGATCGAGATGACCCTCTAATGAGACACACAAGTGATTCACAATAATCTTCTATTTTGTTTTATGTGCACGATTTCTATAAAGAATTAATATTCTTTTGTTTACTTGTAACTTTAAAAGAGAAAAAAAAATTTTTGGCATATTGAGCTTAGATAAATCTGTTGAATTTTAGAAAAAATAAATATTAATTTTAAGAAACATTTTTATGTAATTGAATAATGATATATACACCATATGATAGAATAAATAAGAAATAAGAAAATCAACTTATAAAAAAAATTTAGTATCAGTTTGAAATCCAGGTCGTATCATAATGATTAGAGTTGATATAAAATTGTGTAAAATTAAAAAAAAAACAGTATAAGTGTAAAAACAATAAAATTTAAATATCATCTTTTTTTTTGTTTCATTACATTTTTATCAGTTATATTCACATACAAAATATTTTAAAAAAAAGCAATTTTATGTAACAAATTTTGTTAGAAAAAATAAAAAAAAAAATAAAAAAAAAAACAATACCTAAAAATATTGTGTATTGAACGAAATTTAGTGTATTTTGTATAAGAGAAAAAAAAAATAAAATTAATAAGAAATAAGTTGAAAAATGTAGAAAAACAGATGTACCATGTACCACTTATTCAGTAATGATTTTTATATTTCTATGCCAATTAATATAAATTATTTAATAAAATAATTTAAAAGTGTTTTTATTTTAATATATTTTTCAGAAAACTTTTGTATACAAAATATTCTTCGTAGTCAAAATATTTCTGTTTATATCGAATATTTTAACTAAAGATTTTAAATTGAACTTTTAAGCAGTTACAAATTGTATTTAATTTGTAAATAAAGAAAAACTATTTGAATAAACTATGTTATTTTGACTCATTTTAATAAATTTTATGAAATTGTTGTCAGTGAAAGTTGTAACATTATCATTCTATCATTTGATTCATTATCACAATAATCAAATAATTAACAGATTAACTTAATCATTGCAATTTTTTTTATGAAATATTGTACAATTTCTATTTTTTAAAATGTTAATTAAATGGAATTATCAATATCAAAAAGGAAATATCATTTAGTGAAACGGTAGCAATAGTCCTTACTATTTGTAAAAATTGGTAAAAAATGCAAGTTATTTAAAAAGGAACTGCTGAAAACCCTAAATACACTCATATTATAAAAGAAGAAAAAAAAAATATACAAAGATTTATTTTTTTAGAATTTTTGTGAACATATTTCTTTATTATTTCTTCTCAGTTTTATATAATTTTTTTAATGGTATAATTTGTTTTTATTTTTTATTAATACTAAATACTTTCTTTTTAAATTAATAATGGTATATTTGCATTGTATTTATATAGTAAGTTCATTTCATATATGTATGGTATTTATATATGTATTATGATTTATTTCACTTATAATTTCCGATTTTTCATTTCTCTTTAATAAATTTAATTAATTAATATAATTTTTTTCATATTGAAATGGTAAAAATAAATTGAAAAAAAGAAAAAATATCAATAGTAATGAATATAGGTAATGATTTTTCAACTTAATAATGAATATTTTTTAGAAATCAGTTAAAAAATTTACAAGACCATAAATAAGTATTCAAATTTTTAAATTAAAACTATTTGTTTTAAAAATTGAATAACTCTTCTATTATGTAGCGTATACTATTTTTGTTATACTAATAAACCATATTATTACTATAGTTTTAAATTAGTATATTTATAGTGATATTTAAATATGTTTTGTTTTTATCTGTAAAAGTTTGTTGTTTACAAACAATAAAAAATAATTTATTCTTTTTAAAAATTTACACACGTAATTTCTTTGGTAGAGATTTATTTTTAGATAAATAAAACATTACAGTATTATATTTTTAATTTTAAATATTATTTTTTTGTTTTTAATACAATAACAAAATTCATATTCAATATTAAGTGCAAAAAACATAATTAAAAGATTAAAAACTTGTGTAATATGGAATTTGTGATTTTCCTTAATATTAAGATAAATTATTTACCAAGTACGAATATGAGCACATTTATTAGAATGAAAAGTAATATTAATTTTCATAGTAAATAATTATGTACTGCTTAAATGTAATATGAAATACGTAGAAGAATTTATTTAAATGCCGTGATATATATTAAAAACTTTAGAGGTTTGAGATTAAATTTGATTGCGAAATATTTTATTTTTAGAATTGGTATATATAAGTACCAAAATTTAATGAATCATAGAACTTTCATTTGAATCATAGTAACTCTTTGAGTAGTTGTAGGCAAGGACATGAAGTTATAGTAAATATTTTTATATAATAATTGTACTAATAACCTTGTAATATGCATACTAAATGCATACATCGTATTTAGTATTTGAAAATTTATTTGAAAACTTATACTGTTCATTTTACTTTAATTAAATCCAAGAATTTGACAATAAAATATACATATTTTATATTAAAAATTCTTGCAAAAATTTTGTGATAGTACAATTTTTTAGTATTTATTTCTTTTTGTAATTTCAAGGAAAAATTGTATCATAATTTTACATTATGAGTGAGAAAAGTACTAAAACCCATTAAAAGATACCTATAATCAATAAATGTAATATAAAACTTTCCAGCAGCAATATCAAACCTTAATTAGCTACTCAATAATTTCGAAAAGTCTTAATTTTGAAATGATTGTTTAATTATTCGGAAATCTGATTTTTTTTTTTTCAATTTTCTCAAATTCCCAATAACTTTAATACGTGTTACATTTTTTATTTTAAATATTTCTTTAATAATATCTATGAACAGTTAAAATTTCACAAAATTTATATTCATTATTTAATGTGTACAAATGTATTTTTAGATCATAATGTACCTGTGACACTTTTATATACATCAAGAGAATGGGGGCTAATATCGCGTAAATTACATTAATGTTAAAAAAAGAAGGGAATTTGTTGTGTTAATCTAAATAAATTTTTAATAATAAATTGTTAATACTATTAATTCATACAATTTACTTAGATCATATAGATCACGTATTTATTATAATCGTGATTCATTAATTTTTGAATTTATCGTTTTCAAAATATTGAAATAAATTTCAAGTAGAATTTTCAATTTTTAATTCAATTTTACTTTTTAATATAATGAAATATTTTCTTAATATATGATTCTTAATTTCATATTTTTGCCCTTTTTTCGTTAAAATTCATTGTTGAGTACAATTTTGAAATATTATAAAATCATATTTTATAAGTCCCACGTATACAATACATTTATTATTTGTTTTTGAAATTGAAATTAATTATTTAATTTCTTTGAATAAGATTGGATTAAGAAATATTAAATCTATTCAACTATATTTGAACTACATATAATTTTTATTAAACTTTAATGGACACTGAAAATAATTTGATTTTAAATGATTATTTTTAAAAATTTTAAATTTCGCAAAAAAATTTTCAAGTGCTATTAGATTTTTTTAAATATAAATGAGATTTTGTGCTTTTAATACAAAAATTTGTTTATCTGTTTGTTTTTTTTTTTTATAAAAATGTTCATTATTTTTTGTTTTTTGAATAAAAGTGTAGTTATAGTTTTAAAAAATGGCAGTCTTATTTTGTTTTTAAAAAATAGAAAAATTTTAAGAACAAATATAATTTAAAGCTTTTAAAATATAAATATGTATGTAATTAAAATATACGAATATAAAAGAGTTTCATGGTTTTAAATATTTTAATATAAGTGACGGTTTTATAATTTTAGTAAAAATTTTATTAAAAAAAGAAAATATGTATGTTTTTCACTCAGGTGAGTTTAAATAGTATTAAAAATTCATGAAATTTCTAAATTTTATATAATATTAAAATTTTTGTTTTAAAATAAATAGAAATATCAAGTTTTTTGAACTAATTATATAATATGTATTTAAATGTTTTCTAAGAAGCTTAATTTCAACATTAAGTATTGAAATAATATTTTAAGGTAGGAAAATGAAATTTCGGGTATTTTTATATATAGCTCGCATAATATATAATGCATAGTGAACTGAAATAAAAATATTTTTGCGAAGCGGAAAGTGCTTTTAAACTATTATGAATATGATTTTGTAATTGACTTATTTTACAACTAAAATAATTTAAAATTATATTGAAATTTTAAAATAAATTTTTTTAATATTTTTATCGATATAAATTTATAATTTATCGATATTTTAAGTAATTTCACTATTTTAAGAAACCATTTTGTTTTTTCTTTAATATTTTTATTTTACAAGCTACAAATTCGTAAAGCACAATTTTTTGCATTTTATACAAAATACAAATTTAATTTTGCATAATTACAGGATTAAATTAAATTAATGTTATCGTTACTTGCCAAAAAATTGTATTGAAAATCAAATTCAATAATTTTACATTCAATATGGGAATTCTTAATAATTATATATTTTAAACTGAACTAAAAAAAAATAAAAAAAAAAAATATAAGAGTACAAGTAGTTGTTCAATGTGCTCGATAAAATGCGTCATACCTTATGCTGCCTACTCATGGTTTTTCAGAATGGTACAATTAAGCAACAAAGCCCCAGTTACTGTTTTAATAATAAAATACACTATTATCGAAAATGGCAATTAAATTCAAATCCTTTTTAATCCAAATCACCTAAAACCGTTTGAGGGATGTGAAATGAAAAATTTCTTTTAAACATTTCTGTTATACTATTAATATAATTAGTATATTACACAAATATTTTTTGGTCATACTTAGTTTTTTGTTTAAAAATATTAAAGTATTTCAATAAATTAAAATTAGTTAGTTACTTTACGATTGTAGTTTGTATAGAATATTATAGCATATATAATTAAAAAACATTTTATATAAATGATTTTTGGTATATTATTTATATGTATGCCAGTTAATAATAACCATTATATGTTAGATTCATATTATAGTTCTTATTTTTTCTATATTATAATTCAAAAATTTTTCTTTTCACAACTGAAAATATGCAAGTGTGTAAATGTATGTTTTAGATTTTTCTTTTTTTTTTTTAATTACATATTAAGTTATTCGGAAGCTTAATGATTTTAATTTAATTCTTTTTTTTTTTTTGAAACATGTAATGTCTGAATAATGTAATGCGTTATTTATTTGTTAAAATTCCATTAACTATACATATAAGACTTTACAATTTTATAGTTTTTAATTTAAAATTTAAAATAATATTTAAAATATTTAATTTAGCTTTTAAAATAAAAGGTTTTTTTTTTTTTTGTAGAAGATTTTACTATTATTAGTTGATTTCTTTTTTATGTAAAAATGATATATATTATGTACATATTATTATACATGTATAAATTTTTATAACACGCGTACATATAAATTTTCTAAATGATTTTAAAAATATTGAAAAATATAGACTAGGGATGGGGAGTGAAAATATCAAAATTATATTCTTTTATTATATAAAAATACGAATAATACTCATTTCGAAAAATTGAAGAAATTAGATAAATACAAATTGGTAATTCTTAATATTGAGTGTCTACTCTA